GTTTTTTCTCCCTGTTTTAACCAGCTGTTAGTATCCCCCGTGTTTTTAAATTTGTTTTTTATTATACCTATCTTATAACCAGCTGTTATTCCTTTCATTGTCAGCTGAAGCTGCAGTGGAGAGGTGAGCCGAGTGATAGAGACAGTGGGATTATCCCTCTCCCTGGCCTCCGTACTGGTATCCCTGGCTATTTTCTCCTACTTCAGGTGAGTATACCTTCAAGTGAGTATCCATTCGAGTGAGTATCTCTTCAGGTCTACCTGTGAGCAGCAAAGCTAACTCAGTATGAAGTTTCCTAGAAATATCAGATGAGAAAATACCAGGCACAATACCAGGCACAATACCAGGCACAATACCAGGCACAATACCAGGCAAAATACCAGGCACAATATCAGGCACAATACCAGGCACAATACCAGGCACAATAGCAGGTACAATACCAGGCACAATACCAGGCACAATACCAGGCAAAATACCAGGCACAATATCAGGCACAATACCAGGCAAAATACCAGGCACAATATCAGGCACAATACCAGGCACAATACCAGGCACAATAGCAGGTACAATACCAGGCACAATACCATGCATAATACCAGGCACAATACCAGGCACAATACCAGGCACAATACCAGGCACAATACCAGGCATAATACCAGGCACAATACCAGGCACAATACCAGGCACAATACCAGGCATAATACCAGGCACAATACCAGGCACAATACCAGGCATAATACCAGGCACAATACCAGGCACAATACCAGGCACAATACCAGGCACAATACCAGGCACAATACCAGGCACAATACCAGGCACAATACCAGGCACAATACCAGGCACAATACCAGGCATAATACCATTCACAATACCAGGCACAATACCAGGCACAATACCAGGCACAATACCAGGCACAATACCAGGCACAATACCAGGCATAATACCAGCACAATACAAGGCACAATACCAGGCACAATACCAGGCAACAATACCAGGCATAATACCAGGCCACAATACCAGGCACAATACCAGGCACAATACCAGGCATAATACCAGGCACAATACCAGGCACAATACCAGGCATAATACCAGCACAATACCAGGCGCAATACCAGCACAATACCAGGCACAATACCAGACACAATACCAGGCACAATAACCAGGCACAATACCAGCACAATACCAGGCACAATACCAGGCACAATACCAGGCACAATACCAGGCACAATACCAGGCACAATACCAGGCACAATACCAGCATAATACCAGGCACAATACCAGCACAATACCAGGCACAATACCAGGCATAATACCAGGCACAATACCAGGCACAATACCAGGCACAATACCAGGCACAATACCAGGCACAATACCAGGCACAATACCAGGCACAATACCAGGCACAATACGAGACACAATACCAGGCACAATACCAGGCACAATACCAGGCACAATAACAGGCACAATACCAGGCACAATACCAGGCACAATACCAGGCACAATACCAGGCACAATACCAGGCACAATACCAGGCACAATACCAAGCACAATACCAGGCACAATATCAGACACAATACCAGGCACAATACCAGGCACAATAGCAGGCACAGTACCAGGCACAATAACGGACATAATACCAGGCACAATACCAGACACAATACCAGGCACAATACCAGGCATAATACTAGGCACAATACCGGACACAATACCAGCCACAATACCAGGCATAATACCAGGCACAATACCGGACACAATACCAGGCACAATACCAGACACAATACCAGGCACAATACCAGGCACAATACCAGGCACAATACAGGACACAATACCAGGCACAATACCAGGCACAATACCAGGCACAATACCAGGCACAATACCAGGCACAATACCAGGCACAATACCAGGCACAATACCAGGCACAATACCAGGCACAATACCAGGCAATAATACCAGGGCACAATACCAGGCACAATACCAGGCACAATACCAGGCATAATACCAGGCACAATACCAGGCACAATACAAATAGTGGGATCATGCACCACGCAAGTAGTAGTAGTAGTAGTAGTCGTAGTAGTAGTAGTAGCAGTAGTAGTAGTAGCAGTAGTCGTAGTAGTAGTAGTCGTAGTAGTAGTAGTAGTAGTACTAGTAGTAGTAGTATTAGTAGTAGTAGCAGTAGTCGTAGTAGTAGTAGTAGTCGCAGTAGTAGTAGTAGTAGTAGTAGTAGCAGTAGTCGTAGTAATAGTAGTAGTCGTAGTAGTAGTAGTAGTAGTCGTAGTAGTAGTAGTAGTAGTAGTAGTCGTAGTAGTTGTAGTAGTAGTCAGGTAGTAGTAGTAGTAGTAGTAGCAGTAGTCGTAGTAGTTGTAGTAGTAGTCGTAGTAGTAGTAGTAGTAGTAGTCGTAGTAGTAGTAGTAGTAGTAGTAGTAATAGTAGTAGCAGTAGTCGTAGTAATTGTAGTAGTAGTCGTAGTAGTTGTAGTAGTAGTCGTAGTAGTAGTAATAGTAATAGTAGTAGCAGTAGTCGTAGTAGTTGTAGTAGTAGTCGTAGTAGTTGTAGTAGTAGTCGTAGTAGTAGTAGTAGTAGTAGATGTGGTGGTGTTGGAAGTATTTTCAGTATTTTATTAAATCTCCTTTATACTTTTTATCATCCACTGTGACTCTTTTTCAGTTCCCACTCCATCACTCCATCCCATCCCTCTCGTCCCCCTCTCATACCCTTCTCCACTTCCATCCCTTCTGCCCCCTATACTATCCCACCGTTCCACCGACAAACTTTCCATCGTAATCCCCCTACGCTGGACACTGCACAAACACTGCTAACTCTCGTAACAATATCATTTTTACCAACTTTCTTACACCAGACCCGCCAGGTGCTCGAAATGTGTCATTAAACCTGGAAGATCGCAGGTGATTCACCAGGTGTGGACAAGTACCAGGTAATTCACCAGGTGTGGGCAAGACCCAGGTAATTCACCAAGTGTGGGGAAGTACCAGGTAATTCACCAGGTGTGGGGAAGTACCAGGTAATTCACCAGGTGTGGGGAAGTACCAGGTAATTCACCAGGTGTGGGGAAGTACCAGGTAATTCACCAGGTGTGGGGAAGTACCAGGTAATTCACCAGGTGTGGGGAAGTACCAGGTAATTCACCAGGTGTGGGGAAGTACCAGGTAATTCACTAGGTGTGGGGAAGTACCAGGTAATTCACCAGGTGTGGGGAAGTACCAGGTAATTCACTAGGTGTGGGGAAGTACCAGGTAATTCACCAGGTGTGGGGAAGTACCAGGTAATTCACCAGGTGTGGGGAAGTACCAGGTAATTCACCAGGTGTGGGGAAGTACCAGGTAATTCACCAGGTGTGGGGAAGTACCAGGTAATTCACTAGGTGTGGGGAAGTACCAGGTAATTCACCAGGTGTGGGAAAGTACCAGGTAATTCACCAGGTGTGGGGAAGTACCAGGTAATTCACTAGGTGTGGGCAAGAGCCAAGTAATTCACCAGTGTGCTCAAGCATCGCAGTGACTCTAGTAACTTCCCTGCTGAGTTAGACAGACTGTTTCTTCCTCAAGGCTGATGTGGGTGTGTGATTATCCGCCTCAGTGCCTGGGTCTTGTTATACGGTGTGTATGTACTCACTTATTTGTACTCACTTATTTGTGGTTGCAGGGGTCGATACTGGGTCCTCTCTCTCCCTGCTCCATGAGCTTTATCATACTTCGTCTTAAAATTATGTATGGCTCCTGCCTCCACTACATCACTTGCCAGACTATTCCACTTCCTGACAACTGTATGGCTGAAGAAATACATCCTAACGTCCCTTTGACTCATTTGAGTCTTCAACTTCCAACTGTGACCCCTTGTTTGTGTCCCATCTCTGGATTATCCTGTGTACAGTGTGTGTGTGTGTGTGTGTGTGTGTGTGTGTGTGTGTGTGTGTGTGTGTGTGTGTGTGTTGCATGTGTTCCTTCTAGGTGGGTGTAATGAGGTACTTGTGCAACACATGCAATACATTGGTTTCTTTATCCTCAACACATTAGCTTGCACAGCTGTGGAATTCAGAGGCGACTTTAGTACTGAAGACTGAGGAAGAATTGGATGGGTAGTATAGAGATAGTCAGTCCCTGAGCCGTAATGGAAGGATGGTTTGGTAAGGTTTGTGTTTTCTGATGCGGGTCTAAGTCATATGATGACCTGCCACTGGAGCTTTTGGTCATATGACCGAGGCCTTCCACTGGCTTACCCCTCCACCCCTTTAAAAATTATGATCACAGTTATAACCATTTTTGTATGTAGCTAATTAATGGAAGGAAGTCAATCCATTAGAGTGAATGGACTGAGGACCTTCTTGCAAGACTAAAGGACATAAGCATCTTAACATCATCTCTCAACTTCCTGCCTAGTTGATGCTGCTATCAAGTTAGATCTGTACTCCTTTGCATCCCTCAGTATGTGTTGATATTCTCATTCAATCATTTCTTTTACCTCCCTTAATCACTTGGCTCTGCTTACTTATTCGTGAAATTTAATTGGATGGATCCTATTATCAATAAATTTTACTTACCCTCAAGTTTCCTATTATATTTTCCAATTAGCTCTGTGAGTTTTTTTCCCCTTACGTTTTCTTATTTATATCTAATTTCGCCTTTATAATACCGTGATTATATTCTATAAGTTTTGATAACCTTCCTTGTGTAAGTGACCCTTTAATATGATGTCACGGTACCTTTAAGTATTCTTCTTATTATTCTTCTTCTTATCAGTTATTTTTTTAAATTAAATATGAAAGGGATACTCATTTAGAATTATTTTACCTAATATAGCCTCCCTCTGTTACTCAAATATATCCTCCCTAATTGTGCAAAAGATTTATTGTTTCAGTATGTCCCTGCTCCTGGGTTCCTGGGTGCCTAGGTGCCCGGGTTCCTGGGTGCCCGGGTTCCTGGGTGCCCGGGTTTCTGGGTGCTTGGATTCATGGGTGCCTGGGTTCCCGGGTGCCTGGGTTCCTGGGTTCCTGGGTTCCTGGGTTCCCGGGTGCCTGACTTAGCAAATTTTCATTGCATGGTGGGGTGTAGAGGAGACTTTATGCTCACTTACTGTGATACAGAGCGGGCGAGTTGTGAATGTTTTTACTGCTTCTGGAGGAGATAATGCTGATTGGTCACTGTCTGTCTTCAGGTTGTGGGGGAGTTGAAGCTGATTGGTCACTGTT